TAAAAATACTGATTGAAAAGTCGAACGAGTATCAAATCCCATTATACATGGCATTCATAGACTTCCGAAAGGCGTTTGACAGCATAGAACATTGGGCCATCAAAAACTCACTACAGAACGGCAGAATTGATTACAGGTACACGGACCTAATAACAAACATATACAAAAATGCGAGTACCACAATAAAATTGACGAACGAACACGCTACAGAACCAATAAAATTCGAAAGAGGAATCAGGCAGGGAGACACAATATCGCCAAAATTGTTCAATCAGGCTATGGAAGACATATTTAAAAAATTAGAATGGGATACATACGGAATAAGAATAAATGGAGAGCTCTTGAACCACTTGAGATATGCAGACGATATAGTCCTGATAACAGATAAGAAGGAAGAGTTACAGAAGATGGTTGAGGAACTAGATAGAAAAGCGACAGAGGTAGGTCTAGAGATGAACTATAGTAAAACCAAGACTATGACAAACCAAGAAGACCAATTAGAAATAGTAGTCAAACAGAATAAATTAGAGCAGGTGGCAGAATACATATACCTAGGACAGATAATAAAGCTGAACAGGGACAATCAAACAGAAGAAATAAAAAGAAGAACTAGACTAGCATGGGCCTCATTTGGTAAACTATCATATATTCTAAAAAATAAAAAGTTCCCTCAATATATGCGAACGAAAGTATTCAACCAGTGCATTTTACCAGTTATCACATATGGCTCACAAACATGGACTTTCACAAAGGAGAACATCGACAGGATATCCAAAACACAAAGAGCAATGGAAAGACAGATGCTGGGTATCGGTCTTAAAGACAGGAAAAGAAACTCATGGATCAGAGAAAAAACAAAGGTGAACGATGTATCAAGACAGGTTGCAAAACTTAAATGGAACTTCGCCGGTCACACTCTCCGGCAAAAAGATGAAAGATGGAATAAGCGAATTCTACACTGGAGACCATGGGAAAAGAAAAGAAAAAGAGGAAGACCACAGATGAGATGGACTGACGACCTTAAGAGAACGGCAGGAAAGGACTGGATGCAGATCGCCCAAAATAGAGACCAATGGAGATTAACAGGGGAGGCCTATGCCCAAGAGTGGGCGTTTAAGGCTGATATATATATATATATATATATATATATATATATATATATATATATATATATATATATCTATATATATATATTATATATATATATATATATATATATATATATATATATATTTAAACATTGGTAATTTCAATATAACTTTGTTCTCACTTCGGAAATTAATATTGTTTATAAAGATTTTTTAATATTTTAGCGAAGAGCTGCTGCGGCTGAAAATTTGGTGCTAAAGTTAAAACAAGAAATCAAATTGTTAACTGTAAGTATACAATGTTATTGTTTTTTAATAATTTTTAATGACATAAGTTTGGACTAGGCTTATCATGACTGTCTTTTACTATCTGCTATTGACCACTACTTGTGTGCTAGACGTATTTTAGAGCATGATGAAATTTGGCAAGATTCTGAAACTTTTTCTTGTATCATGTATAAGTTAAATATTCATGTTTTTATGGGATTACATCACAATTATTGGTTGTGATTGTCATGATAATCACATTTTGTAATAACTAATGATTTACGTTTCGATTTCTCCTCCTTCTCGTCAATAAAGGTTTTTTATTTAGCTAATGGCTTTTTTATGGAAAAAGCTGGTTTACCTGTACGTCTCACATCATTGTCGTCTGATTCTGAGCTTTTACCACTTAGAGGCTTATAGGTTTTATCAATGTCGTCCACTTTCTTACCATTGCCTTGAAAGTTACTGTAGTGAACAGGTAGTTTTAAAACAAATCCAGCCTTGTAATAATAATTATAGGCTAATTTTGTAGGCCTATAATTGGCCAACACAAAAATTATCCTTATAACCAAAAACCGGAAATTACTGAGCAATTTCCGTTCTTCTTCAAGTGCCGTCTTCGTTCCGAAGTTTGGCTATCATCAAAGCTATGCGTATTTTTGATGCTGCAGATCTAAACAGTTGGTAATTGGTGCAATTGTACCATTCTCTCAAATTTTTCAACCATGAATGCCTTCTTCTTCCTATAGATCTCTTTCCCATTATCTTTCCCTGTATAATCAATTGTAGCAACTGGTATTTATCTCCCCTCATAACATGTCCCAAATATTGTAGTTTGCGCTTTTTAACAGTAAGTATCAGCTCTTTCTCTTTCCGCACTCTCCGCAAAACCTCCACATTTGTTACTTTGTCTGTCCAGGGTATTCTTAATATTCTACGATACATCCACAACTCAAATGCTTCTATCTTTTTGGTATCGATCTTTTTCAATGTCCATGTTTCCATCCCGTAGAGGAGAACTGACATAACGTAACATCTCAAAAGGCGAATTTTAAGTTTTAGACTTAGATCTCTTCCGCAGAACACCTTTTTCAATTTAGTAAATGTGGCTCTAGCTTTCTCTATTCTGATTCTGATTTCTTCAGAGCAATCATTATTTTCGTTGATAACAGTTCCCAGGTAATTATATCTTCTTACACGTTCGATTCTTTGATCATGCACGGTTATGTCAGGGAAGTTTTGTGGTGATTTAGATATTAGCATTATTTTTGTTTTGTTTATGTTAAGTGATAATCCGTGTTCTTCACTGCATTCTACTATTTTGTTAATTAGTATTTGAAGATCTTCCCAAGTTTCTGCGATTAATACCGTGTCATCGGCATATCTCAAGTTGTTTATTCGGATGCCATTTATCTTAATACCTATATTTTGATCCGAAAGTGCTGTGATTATAATGTCTTCGGAGTATAGATTGAATAAGGTCGGTGAGAGTATACAACCCTGTCTTACGCCTTTCTTGATCTCGATTTCCTCCGTTGTCTCTTGCTCTATTCGGATATTTGCTTTCTGGTTATAGTAAATCTTAGAGATAATTCTAATGTCCCTTTTATCCAAGTTTTTTTTCTACTAGCAGTTTCATTAAGTGATCGTGACGAACTTTATCAAACGCTTTGTTGTAATCAATAAAGCACATTATATTATATATATATATATATATTATATATATATATTATATATATATATATATATATATATATATATCTTGGTTTATATCTAGACATCTTTGGCATATGACGTTGTGCAAATAGTGCTTCTCTTGTTCCAAGCCCGTTCCTAAATCCGAATTGAGTATTACTAATATCTGCATCTAGTTTTCTGTTAATTCTTGAGTGGATTACTTTGATGAATACTTTTAATGTATGCCCCATTAAGCTTATAGTGCGGTAGTCAGTGCACTGTTTTGCATTTGCCTTTTTTGGTAAGGTTACAAAAGTTGAAAGTAGCCATTCCTTTGGTATTTCTCCTCTTTTGTAGGTGCAGTTAAAAAGGTCGAGTAGAATATTCACTGATTCGCCTTCCACAAGCTTAAGAAGTTCTGATGTGAGCCCGTCTGGACCCGCTGATTTACCATTTTTCATTATTTTTATAGCGTATAATAGTTCTTCTTTAGTTATTTCTGGTCCTTCGTCGCCTTGCAAGTTATCTATATTAGGTTTTTGTCTTTCATCGTCGAACAATTCTTCTACATAGTTCTTCCAGGTCCTAAGCTTTTCTTGTAGATCGGCTATTATTTCACTATTTGCGTTGCACATAGGAGATTGGGATGTTTTCGTTTTTGTGTACATGTCAGTTCCTTTATCTTTTTATGTAAGTTAAAAGTGTCATGTTTGAGATGTAGTTCTTCGATTTCCTCGCATTTTCTTGTATAAAAATTTTCCTTTGCAGTTCTTATTTCTTTTCTGATTTGTTTGTTTACTTCATTATATTTTTGGCTGCATTTTCCCTTTAACTCTCTTCGCTCTTCCATGAGACCTAAAATTTCCGTTACTGTCATTAAAAAAAATATAGATCTGGCAATATCTGTTCACCGTAATCTGTTGATATCAACAATAACAATACTTATTGTGATAACGGTTGCGCTTAACAGTAAATAAATTTTGCACAATTTATTGTAGTATTTTGTTCCTACGAGTACATACTGGGAATCTCTTGGAAAATTCCTCTCTCTGCTTACAACACAATAACATAAATGGCACTGCATGTTACTTAAATAAATCACAACAATAATACCATATTATGGTCATTTAAAAAACAGACAGAATTCTTTACTAGTAACAAAAACATCATAACTGACACTTGTATTTTAACAGTAGGTACAGAAAATGTAGGTACTGTTTGAAATTCTGAGACCTATACAAAATAATATACAATACTAAATATTTGAGGTTAGCAAAATACTAAATCAGGTAATCAGGTCAATGGTTTTAAAACAATAGCTTATCTGTAGGTGTTGTTTAATTAGCAATATTACGTGACAGTAATTGTAGTATTCATTTCCCACGAGAGTTCGGATCCATTTTGCAATTATTAAACAACGGATGTATTGTACAACTTTTAACTATCTAACACTATTGCGAACTTAATAAAATGGTTACAATTATTTTATTTCATGACAATTCCACCAGGTACCAGGTTAGAAAAATGTTCTCTAAAAAAAATTTATTTTTAATTCTACAATTCCAGTCGAATTTGAAATATTTTTCCTGGTAGGGAAGCTCTTTCTTGTAGGAAGTTGATATTTCCCAGGCATACTTTTTATGTTATGTTCTTTCACTGCATTTTGTAATTATGTAAAATTCGATTTTAGACTCAACTGAATGTCGTAAAAACTGAAAATCAAACTTTGCGCGGTGAAGGAGCTGCTGGCGGTTATAATACATCTAATCAAGTACAGTTTAATCGATTGGCTCAAGAGTTACGGAATGCTGCCGGCTCAGCGGAACATTCTTTAAGGTAAGTCTATTCTTGTAGATGTAAGATTGTTATAATCATTATCAGGTAAATTGCGTTAGGCTTTCACGGCCATCGTCTAACTTATTAAACTGTTTATTCGGGCTGTTGGGCCGTTGTCTTCTGTTGAGATTAGTTCTCGACGTTTCGCCAACACTAGGGGTTGGCATCTTCTGGAGATGTTGATGCTTCGCTTGTAAGCAGAAACTGACGACGCGTTGTACTACGGAGGCAATATTTATAATTCCCACTCGCCTCCCCTCCACTGGTTTCGGCTTGAGGGGGCGTGTCGTTGTTTATAGTAGCTTTTCTATCTCCGTGTTTGGCGGGAAGGGCGTTTGTGGATTTTAATACTGGTATCCATGTTTTGTTGATTTTTAGTCCTTCTTCTATCCTATTGAAATTGTTTGGGTGCTTGTATATTTCCACCGCTTCCCGATATAACCGTGGGTAGTACTGTGAAGTTTTGTCCAGCATCTGTGTTTCTTCAAATAGTATTCGATGTTCTCCGCTTCCCAAAGCGTGTTCGGCAACGGCAGATTTGTCGATATGTCCTAAACGGCAATGGCTTTTATGTTCATTTATCCTGGTGTTGGTGTGTCTTTTTGTGGTTCCCACATATACCATTCCACATGTGCATGGTATTCGGTATACTCCGGCCGTTGCTAATGGGTCGCGTTTGTCTTTTACCGATCTTAAACAATCCTTGATCTTCTTTGTAGGTCTGAAGATGGTCTTTATGTTGGCTTTCTTGAGTATTCGCCCAATTCTGTCCGTTACCCCCGATATATAGGGCAAGAACGCTTTCCCTTTACATTCTGTTTCTTCGTCCCTTCTTCTAGATACGTTGTTCATCGCCTTGTGTATTTCTCTTCTGGTATTTCTCTTTTTCAAAAAAAGCGCTCACCTCTAATGGGTACACCAGAAGAGAAATACACAAGGCGATGAAGGTAATTAATTTTACCCGTGTTATTCATTTGGATTGTTGTCTTTGATCAGACAAGGATTTGTTCGTGGTAAATATTGTCTTTATTCCTGTTGGTTTGAGTATTTTCTCAATTTTATCAGTGACACCGATGTAAAGAAGAAATGCTTTCGTATGGTGAGGGTCTGCGTCTTTGGGTTGTGATTGGTCGGAAGATTGATGACTGTGTAAACTTCTATTGATGCGGTAACCATTTTGGATTAGAGGTTGTTTTAAAAAAGAGATCTCAGCCGATCTACTGACATTATCGCCAAGACAATGGTATTAATGACTGAATTAATTAGAGAAGGTGGGTGATTAAAGTTAGCGGCATGCAAGTAGCGATTGCTCTTACTCACTGGTACAGTATCATCTTCACTCCTCTTTCCTCCAATATATTCTCGATCACTTTATTCCATGCCTGCCTTGCTCTTTTTCTTTTTTTTTCTGTTTTTTAATATTTTTGCTTCCCATACTCTACTCACTGTTGTGGTATCGTTCATTCGGTATAAATGACCCCACCAACTCAGCTGTCTCTGCTCTATAAACTCCAATGTAGATTTTATTTTCAGTTCGTTCCTTATATCTCTGTACTGATTCTATTCATTTTGACTGTATCTTGCTCTTTTGCTATTCCGTAACTACCCATGATTCGCTACCAAAAGTCAGGACAGGTCTCTCTAAACTGCTTTGAAGACTTTCATTTTTGTATTTCATAATATTTCTTTTCTACATATAAATTTTTTGTTCATTGGATGATACATTTGTAACGTTTTCTCTACTCTGCTTTTAGATATCCTGTGTATTCTATTATTACTCCTCACTTTGTAAAAGTTTTAACTTGTTCTATGTTTGTTCCTTTAATTTCCAAATTAAGTACTTTTCTTGTTTCTCCTATCTGCATAACTTTTCTTTATCTTTTCTTTATCTTCATTCTGTTTTCAGCGAGTAATTCTTTCTATATTTCCAAGTTATTAGCACCAAGTTATCAGCAAATACACCTCTGAGATTTCTACTTGTTACAGATTTCTATACGCTACATTCAGTTTTTTACTTCTTTTTGTGCATGTCTTAATAATTTCGTCCATAAATATTATATCTGATGTATATTTTGTATAGTTTTTGTATCATTCGTAGTAATTTGTTCTCCATTCCTTTTTCTCTTAATATTTTCCCTAATTTCTGTCTTGGTACTTTATCGAAGACTTTTTCCATGCCAAGAAAGGCTATGTATGTTTTCTTTGTCTCTTGCAGTGCTTTTTTATCTGTTTTAAAGTAAATATGTGATCCTCTATACTCTTGCTACTTCTAAATTTACTTTGTGCTTCGTCTAATTTGTATTCTGTCATTGTTCTTAACCGCTTGCTTATTATTATTTTTTAAGATTTTCTTACGTGGACATAGCAACTTCAATCCTCTGTAGTCATTACATTCTCTCCTTTCTCCTTTTTTGTATATGGGTACTATTAGTAACACTTTCCAAAGTTCCGGTATGGTATATCTTCATTTTTCCATATTTTATTCATTAGTTTTAGTAATATTTGTTCTCCATTTTCTCCCATTTTTTTATAATTTCTGTTATTATTCTAACCACTCAGGAGCTTTTTCATACTTCAACGTTCTTATTGCTTCTTCTTTTGATCTTCGTTTATTGAATTTTCTTTGTTATCTTCCAATATTTCACAATTATACCTTAGGTTATACCACAAATGTACCTTAGGTATATGAAAAAAGCAATGTCTACAATAATTGTAGTCATTGGTAGTCAATGAAATAAATTATACTATTTATTGAAAAATGAAAGTACAGTAAAAATTTAAACAAAATGTATGGATGTAATATAAAATGTAAGTATTTATTTTCCATGGAAATTGACAAAACAGTTGCGATCTTTTTGAAGGCACAAATGCTCCTTACATTTAGTTTAGTCTATCTAGACTTGCCCTTGTAGCTAACATTCTTGCACCATCCAAGAAGGGACACCCTATTATGCCCAGGCATATGGTTTATGTTGTCTAATTGTATCGCTGCAAGAGGCCTTATTTCAATCCTAGTTCGACTCAGTTGAACAGGGACGTCATCTTTTGAAGGCCTTCCCACTTTCTTCCTGGAAATATCATTGGCCTGTTTGACGAGAACCTCCCCTATCTCCATTCTAAAGTGCAATTAGTCTAGTTGTTTTTTCGTTGGTTCACCAAGTAATTGGCAATCTTTTCTATACTCTAACCAAGAATTTACAATTGCCATATCCACCGCATGAAATATTCTCAGTGTCCATTTTTTGGAGCGAATTTTTGTTCGGTATAATATAAGAGCATCAGCTTTGTTGACTCCACCCCTGTGGATGTATAAAATATTACATAACTGTAAAACGAAGCCAATTGTGGGTAGGCCAGATACTTGAAGAAAATTGTGTGTGCAATTCTAGTCGCCATGAGCGAAAGGATTAAGATAGGAAAAGTAAAAGAGCAGTACCAATGTGCCTTATTGGTATTTTTTGTATAAAGCACATAAACTTGATTAATTTTTAAAAGAATTGCTGATATGAGCTCCGAAAACATGGACTGTTTCTAAAACAGATGTAAATCACTTACTTATCTTCAATCCAAAAATTTTAAGCTTAACTTTCAGCTCTATAAGCAATTTAAAGAAGTACGAGATGACAGGGATGTAATATCCTACTTTGGGACATATCTTATTTTTTATATTCATCTATGAATTTTTTCATGTGTTTCAACTTGTTTATTGTAATTATTAATACGATTTATTGTTTTTTTTTTTATTTAGACAACTGCTTACTGGTGTAGACAACCTAAGAATAATGGCTGCTTCTTTAGAAAATATGCATCGAATAGAAGAAACCAGGGACCCCTTTTCAAATTTTGATGAAGACGCTGGACCTGCACTCTAACCTTTTATACCATAGTCTGTTTTTAAAGTAGTATTACTAAGTAATGTACATAAAAACAATTTTATTTATTGTTACATTGAGAAATTTTTGATACATGTGATTATATTAATTTATTAACTACTAGAATTGCGTTCGCGCTGTATATATTTATACATTTTTAAAATATCGCCTATAAAGATATCGGTTTTTCATATTGGGTATTTGTTTTAATTTTAACATGTATACTGCCATATTCGGTTCATAGTATTTTGCACACATACGATTTCCCAAGCCATTGCATTTAATTTGGTATATATATTTTTAGTGAACAATGAATGTGTAATAAACTTTATTCATTAATTATTAAATAGATCAGTTATGGTAAACCTGGTGCTATTGTGAATGTCGCCATATGTTGTAAAACATAAAAAATTTACATTTTTAACACATTTTAAATACAGTAGTACCTACGAGTGTAATTTGTTCCGTTATCTTGCTCGTATGTCAAATTTCAATTTTCCCCATGGAAGTTAACTCTCATTAATCCGTTCCAGTCCCAAAAAAACACGTGAGTTATTTCTGCTGTGGAAGTGGAGTTTCGTTGAACAAGACCGATGCACCATCAGTTGTAACTTTTTCGGGGTGATATTTATCCACAAACTCTGCAACTTTCTCCCACATTCCCAGGATCTCTTGTCTTGATCCTTTATATCTCTTGTAGGACCAACGTCTTCCAATTCTGGTTACTCCTCAAAACTAATTTTTTGATGAACCACCGTATTCTGCTGCGAATGTTGTTCGTCTAACTCAGTGGTTCTCAACCTTTTTGTGGCGACGGAACACTTTTAATTACCGAAAAAAATTGCGGAACACCAAAGCAATAACATGGATATATTGATAAACAAATTAGGATTAGCACATAAATTCTGTAATAAACTTTATTATACGTACTCAAATTTGTAAAATTTTACTTAAAATATGAAAACAAAAAACATTTTTAAAATTAACAAAAGCGTAATTCTCAAAATACATCATATGAGTAAATACTTCAAATTAGTGAGACACTTGTGCCTGGTGTCGTTTGCAAATTTGCTCAATATCAGGCCTGATGTGGGAAAGAGCTACTCTCATTTCTTGTTCTAAGTTTAGTAGCCTTTCTCGTTTCTTATTTTTAATGTTTGTTAAAGATGAGAACCCAATTTCACATAAATAGGACGTTGAAAACTGTATTAAAATACTAATCGCTTTTTTGGCAAGAAGTGGATATTCCTCTTGGACCAAGATCCAAAATTCCTGAACATTCACTTCTGAAAACTTAATTTTCAGAGTACGATCAGATGACAACGAAATAAATTCTTCTTCTTGGTTCAGAGAAAACTGGAAATTGGCTGTATTACTTGTGCTAAAAGGACTTCTTATCCAGTCATATTTTTCTACGTTCAGAGATGGAAAATACATGGCAATTGTCTCCTCTAATAGTGATAAGTGTTCTGTAACTATATGCGTGATTTCTTGTTCTTTATCTTCATCACCTTCATTCTGAAGCAGTGGAAACATATCCATTTTATTTGTCTCTAAAATGCGCTTCTTCCAAAACGACAATTTTTTCTGGAAAGCTGACAGCTTGTCCGTGGATGTTAAAATATTTTCATTTTTGCCTTGCATACTTAAGTTAACGCCATTTAAATAATTAAAAATATCGGCCAAATATGCCACTTTAGTGCACCATGCATCATTTTCAAAATATGTGGTAAATGTGTCATTACCTTCTTCTTGGGAAAAAGTTAACAGCTCCGTTCTAAGTTCATAAATTCGACATAATACTTTGCCACTTGACAACCATCTAACTTCGGTGTGCAGCAACAAACATTCATACTTTGATTCCATTGAGATGCAGAGTTGTTTAAAAAGACGGGTTTTTAGTGGTCTTGATTTGATGTAATTCACGACATTAACCACTTGGTCTAATACAGATTTCAAAGTAGCTGGTAGCGTTTTTAAAATTAGAGATTCTCTATGCAAGAAACAGTGCGTAGATATGATATTTTCATTTCGCTTTTTTGCAAGGGTACAAAAACCTTTTATGGAGCCTACCATGGAAGGGGCACCATCCGTACAAATTCCTACGCAAAAGTCCCGTGATATATTTTTTTTCTCTAAATATGACGTTATGGAATCAAATACATCCTGACCTGTTGTACATGCTGTAAGTTCTCTGCAGCATAAAAACTGATTGACTATTTCACCTTCGTCGACAAATCGAATAAATCCTAATAAATGAGCTTTGCCACTAATATCAGTGGATTCGTCCACCTGCAATGCGAAGTTTTTTTTGTAAAGTTTATTTGTAACTTTTTCCTCAATATCTGCAGATAAATCAACAATCCTCCTTCTTATTGTATCATACGACATAGGAATTTTCCGTATTTCGTTTTGTGCATCGTTGCCAAACATAATTTTGACCATCTCACAACATGCTGGTAATATAAGAGATTCTGCAACAGTGTGTGGTTTCTGTTTCAAAGCAAATAATTCGGCGACCTTATATGAAGCTATTTGTGCTTTGTCGGAAATTGTTAGCGACCTTTCAAATTGTTTCGCTTGTTTAGCTTGTGTCTCCAAAAGTCGCTTGAAATAATCTTTATTTTTTGAAGCTACACTAGCGTGTTTGGTAGTAAAATGGCGTTTTAATTTAGCCGGAGACATTGCGCTATTAGCGAGTGTCTGCTCACAAACAATACACTTGGGAATTGGACAGTCTTCTTCCCCAGTCCAAATGAAGCCATAATCCAAATATTCATCCAAATATTGCCGGTTCAACATTTTTTTGCTGCGCTTCGATTTGTCATCAACCCCACTTCGTACAGTTCCAGTATCTCCGCTGGTGCTCGCTTCATCATCATTAATTATGAGTTGTTCCACAGTAGTTTTTTTTAAGTTTGAGGAACTTATCCATTTTAATTTATTCGTCTCTAAACAAAATAATGCGGATGAATGCTCACATTTTGTATAAAATATGCAATTACTTACCTTTGATAGATAAGCCGTACGTAAACGTTATCATAAAAAAACTGACAGCGATTTTCACGTATTACGTTTGTGCAATGTAACAAATTCAACATTCAGTTGCAGACTGGCGTGGGTAACTCAGATTGGCTGTGGCCACTGCGGAGCTCAGCGCTCAGCGCTTATAAAATCCAACGTGTGCACTGTGCCGACGCGGTGTTGTCACGTTGGGCAAATGAACATTTACGCTGCAGAATCTTATTAAATTAAAATGTACGTAAGTGGCTATTTTAAAATTTGAAAATATTTATTTGAAAAGAGTAATTTAGCAAAATGGTATGTAGGATTGCGAGTATTTCGCGGAACACTTGGAAGGAATTCGCGGAACACCGGTTGAGAACCACTGGTCTAACTCCTCGGTTTTCAGCTCCTGAGTCTGTTCATCGACAAGTTCGTTCGCATTTCTTTCATCCACCTCCAGACCTATGGATTTTATAAGAGAAACAATTTCATCTACCACTGATAATTCGGGTTCCAGTCCTTCGCAGGCCCTTTCATCTAGTCTCAGGCCACAGCTTCTTCCATGTAGAGGTTAAGGTTCTTGTTGTAACACCTATACAGGCGGGCTCAATAATTCTTAGACATATTACTATGTTAAAGTGGTTCTTCCAGAACTCTCAATGGGTAAGGTTTGTGTTCTCCGTCACCTCAAAGCAGCGCCGAAAAATGTGCTTGGTATACAACTTCTTAAAATTAAAAATCCTTGGCTGATCCATGGGCTGCAAGATAGGAGTGGTGTTGGCTGCTAGGTAGAGAATCTTTGTAAATTTGAACTTTTTGAGTAAATAATCTTTGAGATTTGGTGAGTGAGAAGGGGCATTATCGAGGACAAGAAGGTTTGCATGGGTAGGTTGTTTTGCTCTAAATATTTTTTAACAGAAAGGGAAAACACGATATTTATCCACTCCATAAAGAATTTCGTGGTGCTTGCCACATAACTGGCAGATTTTCTTTTAAAATCTTATGTGCCTTAAAGGCTCTGAGATTTTCTGAATGATACACTAGAAGAGGTTTGATTTTACAGTCGCCATTCGCATTAGCACAAAATCTATCTTTCATAGGTTTGTGACCTGGCATTGTCTTCTTTGCCGTTATGTAAGTCATATTCGGTACCTTTTTCCAGAAAAGCCCTGTCTCGTCACAGTTAAAGACTTGCTAGGGATGTATCCTTTGGCTACTATCAGTTGGTAAAACGTTTTGAAAATTTCAGCTGCTTTCACATCCGAACTTGCTGCCTCACCTTGCCTAACGATGGAGTGAATGCCGGTCCTTTTTCTAAAGTTAAACCAGCCCCAACTGGCTTTAAACGAGTCTTCCGATTCATCATTTGCGGACGTGTGCTGGATCTGCTTCAGCAAATCTTCGTAAATTGCTCGTGCCTTCTCACATAATTATGATGCTTTGTGTTAAGGTTTCTCCTTGAAGCTGCTTCTCTGTCACCCACACTATTAGTAGTTTCTCCATCTTTTCATGGAAATCTTAGAAAATGTTGTAACGACCTTAGCTGCCATTTATCACATCCTTAGGTGGCAGGCATCATTCAATAGAATACTGTAGTGACTTACATACGACGGGTATTTCCTTAAATGAATATGTGGTATGTAACATACAACAGTCTTCTATCCAGAGGCTGTGCATCTTTTTGAACTAAAACAACTGTTGGCTAAATAGCATTTAAATGATGAGAGCTGGATATTGCGATAGTGTTTTGTTGTGAAGAGCTCTTTAAATCACATACGAATCAAACATAACCTGAAAATGGTTATTTTGGAACTTACAACAGTTGTCATCTCAGGGTGCGATTTTAATTTTAATTTTAAACTGCTGCTTTAGCCTTTTTGTTTTTCTGTACACCGAGCTGAGGATCGATCCCATATCCACTGAACCACTCGCAGTGAAGCGAATGAGAAGCGGCCGCCCAGCCTGCTTGGCTATCTGACCGACTTTATGTCTAT